CTAAGTGCTGCCGCGCCCACATCCTGTGTCCCTCCCACCCCCCATCGTCCTTCCCAAGTCCTGCACCCCTCACCCCGGCTGTGCAGCTTGTCCCAGCCCTAGCCCCAATTCCTCCCTCCCCCACACCCCTTTTCTCCCCCTCCCCTAACCCCAATAGACTTACCAGCTGGGGGCAGTTGTATCAGCTGCCTGTTTAGTCTATGGCTAAATCGCCAATTCAGAGCTTTTAATTGGTCTCCTGATTCAATTCGCATTCAGAAAGTCGGTCCCTGAATCGGGCCAAATCTCTGAATTGACTTAGCTACTGAAGCGTCACACACCCCTACAAATTAACTTTGCTGCAGACTAGTACTTGTAAATACAAGTGCTGTCCTGCAATGGAGTTTTTTACTCTGCAGGAATACACATGTAGAGGCTGACACAGCTGGCTGGAGCACGAGGTTGTTTTAGCATGGGAGCTGCCTGCTGGCTAACCCTGCACTGGAGCACATGCCCCGGCCAGCCCTTCCACAGCACATTAAGCCAGGTTGGAGCAGCCCTGGGCTGCTCTGACACAGCTTAACATGCTGCGGTCCCAGGCATACTTGTAAACACAGCACCTGGGAGCAATAAACTCTAATACAATACACACCAGAGTTTATTGCTTCACCTTAATACTACATGTAGATGCACCCTGCACATTTTATGGTCGAGAAAGCTAACTGAAGCGGTCAATTTTGAATATATACAAGAACAATTAAATATGTAAAGAAAAATTAATTGCAGTATTCTAGTTCAAAATATTTCTTCCATGTTTCCTTAGGGCATGAAAATATCTCTGTCCTGTTTTTTAATCCCACCTAACACCCATCTTCTGTGTTGGAACTCTCTTGGATTCTCCTTTGCACCTGAAAATAGGTTACATTTGTTCTTGACAATATCTGCTGTCATACTATTGTTTTTTTCAGGCAGTAATAGTACAGAAGTATTGATAGTCTTTTACACTTAGGATTATATCTTATACCAGAGCTTCTTAAGCTTTTTCATAGTGTGGAATGCATCTCAATGGGAAAATTGACTTTAAACCACCTCCTTTCTGATTTGTTACTGTGAAGATCACCTTCTCTTCATTCCAAATCATATAACATTCTCTTAGCTACCACAAAATAACTTACCTCTAAAAGTGCTAGAAAGTTTTTAAGCTTTTTAGCAGCTCAAGGAGGAGATGTAGTTCTCCATGATGACCCTCAGAGCACAATTTAGAGAATATGTTTATAATATGGCATAGGTTGGGTTGGATAATTCAGTTTATCCGAAACAATTAATGGCTAGTTTGTATGTACTGAATATTTTTTATGCAAGAATGAGCAGAAACCATTCCTACCACTTTCAGTTTTGAATGAACAATGCTTCCTTCTCCATGGGTTGAATTGCATTTTTTTGGTGCAGGAGGATTTGAAAATCTGTAGAGAGGTACTTTCTTCTCTTGCACCTCAGAGAGCCCATCTCTATTGGGATTCTTGGTATGGATCTGGGCAAGAGCAAAAAAATTATGCCCACACTAGGAATCAAGGGTTTCTAATACAGGCAGCCCCCGCTTAGCGCGCTCTTAATTGGTTTCTGAAAAACCGAGCGTTAAGTGAAACTGAAAGTATTTGATGACCCAAGATGGAACTGCAAGTGTTTTTAATGAGCCACGATGGCGACCGCGAGCATTATAACAAAACTCGCAGAGTGCTAAGTGAAATCAGGTATCAATTTAAAATGAGTGTTATAGTGAAATAGCGCTATGCGAAACAGTGTTAAGCAGGGGTTGCCTGTACAGAGAGATTCAGCAAATTGTTCTCTCCCATCTTCCCACCTTTATCTATCCTTGTGGGACCTGACTAGAGTCTGGTCCTATGTCAGCTTGTTTTCTGGTTCTTTCTTAGCAATTCTCCTCAATAGTATTAGGTTTATTTTTTCAATAGCTTGAAAAAAATCTTTACCCCCTTCTAAATGTCCTACAGTTTTAATTTATCTAGGTCTCTTATTGGGTTTTTTTTAAAATTCCAGAACAGAAAAAAAGGAGCCTCCAACCAGCTTGGTCTATACAAGTCATTATTTTTATACGCTTGCACTGAGTTTTTTTTAATTTTTCTCTGGGCAGTGTTATTAAAATGAGGCTATTTTGCATGTCAAAAGGCAATTAAGATTGCTCAGGCATGTGGCACTTGGAGTACCCAAGACTTATCATGCAGCAACATTTGACAGTGGGTAGAAGAACAACATTACAATTATGCTGGGATATATATATATTTATGCTTCATAAGCTGTGATCATAAGCCAATCACTGAAATGTATTATGAGTAAACTTCCTCTGTGATTGAGGCTTTTCCATAAATCTCTGATCTAGAACTCTCAAAATCAGTAAAAGAATTCATGTCAGGTCATTTTTACCTCTATGATATACCTTGTACCTTTCCCTGAAGCTCTTGATAGTGTCTAATGCTAGGTATAAATTAGCAGACCAGATGTACTGCTGGTCTTATTCTATATAGCATTTTTTATGTTTCAGGGTTGGAAAAAAAGTACTGTGGGCTGATTAAACGACCTAATGCCACCTGGATCTAAATGCTAGGGTGTGCTAATTGCTTTTTTGTTTTGTTTTGTTTTTTTAACAAAAATGAAACTGTCAGTGCATTGTCTGTTCAGTCTATGAGAAAAAGACCGTTGACAACTGAGCTGTAATTCTCTTCCCAATATCCTAATATCTTGAAGTGTGGATTGAATATGCAGTAGAACTACATCTCAAAGTGTTTACAAGCAAGTTATTTATTTTTGTGACATCAAAAAGTTATTAAGGATTTTTGTGTTTCACTTTTTGTTCTTTTAAGTAAAAGCTTCTGTCTGTAACTATCAATTTAAAAAAAAAATATTTTAAACAAATGAAGTGTGTCTTTTATTTTCTATCTTCCATCTGGGCCTGCAAAAGGGGAGTCTCTGTAAGCTAAATACAGCTCTTGAAGATGTGCGACCAATTTTGTAAAGTCTTGAACTTGTCTCTCTCATCAAAGCTACCTTTTCTTTCTTTGTACGCCAAGTTTTTTCATATACTGCTGGGCATGTTTTCTGTTCTTGTATATTACATCACCTCTATGTGCCCTCTCTGTCTTTTGTTCTGACTTACCAGTGTTTATCAAAACTAAAAGAAATCAAAGGTACAAACCATGAAATGCCAAAAGCAAAATTTGTATCCTTTTAAAGACAGATGAAAACCATACCCTCTGTATCTAATTATATTCTACAGCTAACCATTACTTCTCTTAAATCTAGTGGTATTATTTACCCAGTATAAAATACAGTATGGCAATGTGAACTATTAAGTCTCTCTTTCCTTAGTAGTTTTTCAGGCATGCCCACCTACACATTTTAATATTTTAGAACTGAAATGTGGTTTTAAATCCTACAGTGATACTGGAAACAGTACATCACTAGAATGCTGCATATTATTACCATGCTTTCAGTAGTTTAATGTTTTGTGGAATTGTAGCTTTTATACATTACCCCACCACATCCCAAAACTGTAACTTTACTTAACAGCACACAGAGTTCCTATATAAGGTCATGCGTTAAAAATTACATTTAAGGAGCATATGGAGTAAATATGTGTCCTCTCTTTACTAACTTTAAATGATAAGCCTTAGGAAACTGTTATTTGTCAGTGCTATAAAGCAGATTGCTGCCCAGTGTTTTCAATTATCTTCAAAGAGTTCTTCACAGGCAGTAATAGTTATATCAAAACCTGAAATTTATTATTCAGGTTCTACGCTGAAGTCTTCACAGTGATTATGTTCCTTTCAACAGAATGCTTTTTATGCTGACTTTTCACATTCTTTTTCATCTTTTTATTATTTCCCCAGAATGGCCACCAAGTTAATACGGCTCGTTAATGACAAGAAAAGGGCTGAGCAGGTTGGTGGCGGCCCCAAGCGGCTGGGCCAGGATGTGGAACTGGAAGAAATGATTGAGCAGCTCCAAGAGAAAGTTCGTAAGCTTGAGAAACAAAATGAGGGTATCCGCAACAAACTAATTTCAACCAAACAGCAGCTCCAAGTTCAAGGCCATCGGCACACACCATATAGCTACGTTCAATCTCGCATTAATAGTGGTCTCAAAAAAGTGAATGAGGCTGTTGGTATCCAAGACCATGCCAGGAAAGGTATAGTTAAAATCCTTAGGACTTTTAATCGATAATATCCTACTCATTAGGGCTTCCCTGAGGTAGCAAGCACATACCAGTTTCTCACTTTGTCTCTTTCATTGACAATAAGTACTTTCAAGAAATGCTCAAGAACAGTTCTGTTTTTCCTTTGTAAAGTAGTGTCCTATTTATTATGCTATCTTGTTTGCAGTATACATCATCACTAGCTTGAGAAGCTATCATGGTTTTTCAGTTTAACTAGTTATCAAATACAAAGTGTTACAATATATTATAACTTCAGAGTTTTCTTACTTTAATTTAAAGTATCTGTTAAGGGTAAGGGTAAAATATGACACACATGCGGGGAGGAAAAAAAGTTTAGCCTTAACACATTACAGCAAAGGTCTACACTTGAAACTTGTTTGCACATATTTTTCCTTATTTACTTCTAGCACTGTCTTCTAGTCTCAAATACATGCATGCACAATGCGACATAACTGTGAAAAAATTATTACATGTATAGATTTTGGAGGACATGTAATGAAATGCAGTCCTACTTCATGGAGATTCTTATATTTATGATATACTGTTTTTTTGTGGGAAGAGGAAGGGTTTGAACAAAAGTAGGAACAAGTTCTTGCTCTCAGTGCTCCACATTTGTTACAAATATATAAGAAAATTAAATTGTTGGTATTTTAAATTTTCATGGAGAGAAACTTTATAAAGTAGTTTTATTCAGATAATTAATTTTATCTATCCAGATAACTTAAAGTAGTTATTTAGAGCCTTTTCCAAAATTCTTTGACTCAACAGGAGTTTCTTATTAACTTCTTCAGGTTTTGAGTCGTGTACCTGGCTGGATACATTACATATTTTTCCTTTTTCAAACTTTCAGGTTCTTTAATTAATAGACTACCTGTGCCTTTGCAGTCAGTCAGTATTAAGATTCAGTTACTGCAGATGTTCAACCTCCCCAAAAATAAATGATTCTAACACTTTTAGATGGGCAGTAGTGTTTATGGAGTATAAAATATTTAACACTCAATCATTTTTGTTTTTTCATTGCTTGTGATGTTGACAGTTATTTTTTTTATTCCCCATAGTAGATTTTTTTTTTTTTTACAGTGCCTTAACTGAAGATAGTGCAGAAACATTATACCAAAAATATTCTATAATGGTATGAATTGCATTCAGTTTGCAAAATTAAACTGCCATGGTCTGGGCCTACTGCTGCAAATCTTGTTCAGTTATATTGTTAAGTAGAGATCCCTTCCATTTGTTTCACAACTCTATGTTGAAATTAGGGTGCTACATTTTTATTTACTTATTTTATTCATTTGCTTCCCAAAAAAGTTCTCATTTGCTTACTTCAAGATAAATTTCAAACCAGCATCTAGGGAGGGTCCAGGCTAAAAAGCCAAGTGAAAATTTGAATGTTATATCTGATATGAGTCTGCACTTCCGTAAATTCCTTCTCTAAAGTTTAGGATGCCTTTTGTAGGGTTAGCAGAATGTAACACACAAATCAAAAGCTTACATCTTTAATAAGGTACCTTCTGCCCCTCCACCCCTCCTCAGCAGGACAAAGATACTATACTAAAGTGTTTGCCATAAGAGAATCACTTGGATGCTCTCTCAGCTGGTCCTTTTGCATAGTAAGTGGTATAAACACTTTCGGTATGGTTTGGGGAGTATATCTAGGTTTCTTGACTATCTATGGTCTTTGTAAACCTTTGCAGTCTGATAATCTTACAGTAGCTAGAATTTTTGCTCATCAGGCTGTATTTCAAATTTACTTCTCAATAAATCAGAGGACCGCCATTGCAGCTCTTCTGAGATGGTAGGAGTGCTTGAAAAGATCTTTGTTTCCTCTCTTGTCTCAGGAGGCAAGACATTTCCTTAAGTAGTGCATCTGGGACAGCAATTCTTTTTAATGTAGTTAGCAGATTCAGGAACGCCTTAGCAGACTACTGAGGTCAGTACTACTGTTCAGATTGGTAACTAACGGCATTTATACACATACTTTTTTGTTCCGCAGTTTGCCTGAGATCTGCTGTTTTGGAGCAGACTCAATTAATCGAGTCTGCTCTGCACGCGAGCTGAGGTGAACTGCACTGCACCACATGCAGTTGTATAAGCAGCGAAATGTGCATTAGTACACAGAAAATGGCAGCAGGGCACTTTTGAACCAAAGCACCGCTGATGTGTTGTAGTTCAAAAGTGTGCTGCTGCCATTTTCTCAGCGTTGATGCACATTTCACCACTTATACAACTGCAAGCGTCGCAGTGACAAGCGCTTTTTCAAAGCGCCCGGTGCTATAGCACTTGCATGTGTAAAATGCCCTGTAATTCTGAGTGAATTGCCTGATTAGTATCAAATAAGATTGCCTGGACATAATTTGCATGTTATGAATGAGAACAACAGTTAAGCAAGGAATACTCAGAATATCAAAGAGTACGGTACTTGGCTGTTGCTTGGGATAACCTAGCTAATTAGAAAGTCAAACAGATCTTTGGAAATATATAAAAGGTCAGGTCATATCAGTCCAAAAGGTGACTTAGTAAGCCAGGCTGTTTATTTGGCCATTTCCTGAACTTGCCAGTGTTCTTGTATCTTAAAAATCTCATAACTCACACTCCAACCCCATATAGTTTGTCTTTGTGCCTGGTTTGTTGAATGTAGTATATACTAAGCTTAAAAATGCACAGTGAGCATAACACTCCAACCCTACTATAATTAGAAAGCCTTTAAATAGTGTCAGCTGGCTGACATCAGGCATGGGGGAAGCATGTTATATTTTGAATAACCATAGAAGCCAACCAGATTTTAATGATCACAAAAGAAGGTACCCATGTAGATGTATTTCACCTCTTTAGTATGTGTGCCAATTAATTGTTATCTTGTTGTTGAACCTTCCTTCAAACATCCCTATCTTCCTCAAGGACATATCTCTTACCATCTTCCAGGTGTGATATGACAGCCTTAAAACTTCTTACTCATTATATTCTTGGCAGTCTAGCCAAACCCAACACTATCTTCCAGGAAGGGAGACAGAAGGGGGGACTTTATTAAATAAACTGCAGGTGAAAGGGATGGAGGCCTGGTAGAAGCTGAGGTGTCAAGCCAGTGGCAGTGGAATAGAGACTTTAGTCTATCCAACACTTGTAGCTGTAGAAAGGTGGCAGCTGCAATGGTTGAAATCTGGAAGGTGCATCTGTAGAGATTGTTTTACACATTGATGCACTAATTGCTTGATGCTGCAGGTGCTGATTTGGGTATGCTAGTGCTTCAGTTACTGTTCAGCTAACAAGGCTCTTCAAGGAAGTTGTTTCTAGCTTGTTTCCTTCAGTGGGATTTTGTAGAGGCAGTGTCTTGCAGGAGTGAAAAACAGGGTATTTCCCAACGGTAGTTCACTAGATGCATTCCTTCATAAAGTTACACTGACCATCTCATGTTCACACTAATTTAAAACTTAGATTCTAGCATTAGAAAAGAACTAAAGGACCTTTAAATATGCCTGGTATCAGTCTATGACATGTTAAGACTTGGGGTTCTGTAGCTTCTTCCATCAGTAGCCCCTCTAGTGTTACTCTGTAGAGACAGAAAAAGTAAGAGGCCAGAATAATTACTGGTGAATAACTATTTTTAGCATGTCTTTAGTGTCAAGTTTCTTTGTACTGGAGCTGACCTCTGTATTCTCTCTTAAATTAATGTAAAACTATGTAGATGGCCCATACCAAAACTTATGACATCTCCCTGTAATTGTGTATACTTGATAATGTCCTCAGTGTAGTATTGATGTATGAGTGGTGTAATGCATATTCTGAATTAATATATTCTATAATTTATTTTATAAAAGAAATACCCTTTATATTATCTACATACTAGTCATAGATATTTATATTGTCTATTGCTTCCTTTATTAAAGATTAGTAAATGCTTTTTCATTACATTTAATATAAAAATATAAATCTCTAAAATTGTTGTTGTTTTAGGAATGAGATTTCAAGATTTAGAACTAAGATCCCCTCAACCCATACTCCCAAGATATGGACACAGTTTGCTTGAAGAAGCAAGGGCTGAGAGAAGAAATCTGTAGGTCTTTTTTTTTTATTATTTTCTGTAATTTAAATTTATTGAAGTAAGAGAGGCAGCACATTTTTTCAAGACCTATAGGTCTTATAAATATGGGGTTAGGTTCTAAAATTGCTAATAGTGATACCAGCAATACTGCCAAGAATTCCAAGATTGGAAAAAATAGATATCCTTTTATAAATTGCAGTAGAGAAAGGAATTTAGTATGGTAGACTGTAGATATAATAGAACCTAGTGTTTTTGCAGTTATTTTCCTAACTCACCTATCAATATCAGGGTTTGTATATTAATGAGGGTTACACCAATCCACAGTGATCAGCTGCACAGAACTGCCAAAGTGGTCCAACTGTTTACTGCAACGTTTATTTCAAGGTAAACTCCTCCTCCAGTCAGCTCACGCAACTCCTAATAAACTGCAGCAAATAGCTGAGTAGCTTATCCCTACTTGAGCCTCTTATTGCAAATTAAATAGTTTGAGAACTGCCCTGATACAGATATTCTACATTGTATTTTTCTGTAGTTACAGTATGGCCAGGAGTTAAAATTACCTTAGGGATTTTATTAACTGTAGGTGTCAAGAAGGTTAGTTTTGTTTCATTAAAACAATGGTAATTCCTGCATGATAGTGTCCCCTAGCTCCTGGGTGAAAAGAAGAGCCTTAATTGCCTCTCTTACTTCATTTTCCTGCTATTGCTTTAAGTTCCAGTAGCTTATCACTATACAACAAATGAGCTTGATTCCAGTTAAAAGACTGATTTCAAATCATGGTATATAAGAATCATACTTTATTATTGAGTAAATATGCAGTAACCTATGTTATCCAGTTAGGTTCCCCTTCCTTTGGAAACTTGTGCCCTAAATCTCCGAATCCCAGAAGGCTGGCAAGGGCCAGAGCTATACACATTGAGTGTCTGATCTTCTGTTTTCCTCAGCAACACATCATCTATGGTAATAAAACTGATAAATGCAAATTTATGATGCTTCAAAACACAAGAAAGGGTTAAAAGCCCAATATTTTCAGAGGTTTCCAGATCCAACAAGGCTTACAAAGAACTAACCACAGATGCTTTGACCTCAAGTTGGGGCACCCATCTTAGACACTAGTCAATAGCAAACATATGGTCAGACAAACTCAAGATACAACATATAAATCTACTAGAGTTAATAACTACCAACTGTAGCCAACTCACCAAAAGTTTTATAGTGGAAAAAGCTTGTAATAAAGACAGACAACAAGGTAACTACAGACAGTATTGCCTCTGTGAATACAGTGGGGAAAAATTTGAGATTACTTTGCCAAGAAACAGTCAAAATCTGGAGGAACTCAGTTACCAGTATACCCTTTTCTAATGCATGTGATGTGTTGACATGATCATCCCTTGGTGCAAACCCAGATCAGATGACACTCAGTTGAGATATCACCTCTACAAAATAAAGTCTACTATTCATAAAAATTAATAATTTTAATTCGGAATCCCCAAATTGTACTGGCCAACACTGTCTTATCTCTAAATATAGGAATAAAATGGGGTTCCTTGTTTTAGTCCATTAAAGATAGATATGTTAATCTTTTTAAGCTTCAAAATGTTTTGGTGCCATAAAGTTAAGAATGTCATGCTTACTATGTCATGCCTTAGTTAGCGACTCTGTGCTGGACAAATGAGAACTTAGTTCTATTGTAAATGTGGCTGATATATGAATATCTAATGTTTCTGATCTACATGATCTAAGCATGAGCATAATACTGCATTTTCTCATATATCACATATCCACAAATAAGCCCTGCACCTTGTTTTTGGAATATAGAAAAAAAAAGATTTTTCCAGGGTCATGATCAACTGATAAAGTATCCAAGTAATGTGGCATCCCAAGAAACAGTCTGAGGGAGGCAGCAGGAACTTTTGGTATGGCAAGACAGGAACAAATCTAGGCTCCACACTTTTGCAAGATCAATAATAAGACTGTTACTTCTTTACTGTAAATAGATATTTATATGAGACTATGTAAATAATAAAGGGTTGCTACCACACCACAAGTCTCATCAAAATACTTCAGACTTCATGCAGCAGTTCATTTGCGCTGAGCCAGGTCATTTGCTGGTTAGACACAAGCTACAGTATTCAGCCAATAGCTATGACTGTTAGAGGGTTAACACAGGACTCTGCCCCGTCAGCTGGCTGGGCCAAAAGCAAGTGGGAAACATTGTGGCAGTTATTAGAGCACAGTGTCTTCATGCTTCTATTCCAGCAAAGAAAAATCAGTTTCCCCACTTAAAATACACACCCCAGTTTTGGAGGGCTGATTTGGGGGGAAATGGTGTGTGGGGCATTTGAGAAAATACAGTAACTCAAATTTCTAAAATTTACTTAGTAACTGTATTCAAATAGATGAGAAGATTTGAAATGAGTGACAGTATATAAACAAGGGTGTAGGTTGTAGCTGTATTGGTGTAAGGACATAGGCAGATAAGGTTTGTTGGCTAAATCTAATATCTTTTATTAGGCCAGCTCAAATACTTGGGAAAATTCTTCTTAGCAAGCTTTTGGGTAGAAACAACCTTTGTATATAGAAAATACTTGTTTCTTTCTGATTTCTTTTCAGTATCTGATTTTTCTGTTTAATATAGTACTTATTAAAAGCCCTATGAATACAAGCTACTTTGTTGACTTGCAGGGAGAATGTAATAGAGTCACAAAGGGGACATATTGCAGAATTAGAACACAGTGGTGAGATGCTCAGGAATCAGCTAAAGAAGAAGGAAACGGAGTTTGAAGAATCTCTTCTACAGCTGAAGGAGCAACAAGCAACAGGTCAAAGGTATTACTGAAAAAATGAATTTCCATATCACAAAGCTATAATGCTTTATATATGTATTAGAGCAAATTACGAGAAGAATGATCTTCTTATTTATATAGGCTCCATAATTTCTCATTTCTCAGAACTATCCAAGGCACAAAATACTGATTTTGATTTTTTTTAAGGACATATTACATTTACTTTGTCTTTGTTTGAAGAGCAGTTCTAAGACATGCAACCAGTCTTGCCTTGCATAGTCTATCACTAGCCAATTAGTTTGCTGAAAAGACTACAAGATAACACAATATTGTGAGCTGCCAAGTGAACAGAAGCCCCACAATCACTTCAAACTGCAGTCTCTAAAAATACATCATGACATCCCAAAAAGCTCATTACATTTTGCGTCACTCATGAGTTCCTTGTGATTTTTTTTAAATCTCTATCTAGATTCTTCAATGACTATCTTTGAATGTTTACTAATCTTCAGTGATACTTTAGAAGCTTCTGTATAGTACATTAATGGTCTGAAAAGGCTGCCATAAATGCTTAAAAGAAGGTGGCAGGGAACCCTTAGTTGGTATGCAAAATTAAAGATTGTTGTGAGCTGTGTTTCCTATTTCTTCTCCATAACTTCTTAAATTTTTCTTCCCTGATTTTCCTTTTTCTTTATGTTTCAATGTATTTTATCTTCTCTT